GAGGGATGGAAAAAAGAGGAGCTGATACCAAGGGCTCAAATAGAAAGTAAATGTTTAGAAATGATGATGGCAACATAGGTACAAATATGCTTGATTCAATTGATGTATGGAATGTTATAAGAGCCTCCAATGAAAATGCTTTTTTTTTTGCAAAGAGAGATTTATTGAATACTTACCCCTTTCGGCTTAGTGGATTCCATGTTGCCCTGTTAACCATTAGGTCAGCAGTTTGAACCCACCAGCCACGTCTCAGGAGAAAGACGAGGCTTTCTGCCCCCGTCACGATTTACAGCCTTGGAAACCTAAAGCGGGCAGTTCCCCCTGCCCTATCGGGCCCCTGTGCATCAGAATTGATGGGGCGTCAGCGAGTTGGGGTTTTGTTGTTTGACCACACGCCAAGCTTTTTGACCCAGGCAGAGCTTGGTTTCTAAGGACGGAAGCAGGCAATAAGCCAATGCAGTTAATTATTAACTTCAATCCCAAGTGTGACGAAGAGATAAAGTGGGGTGATGTGGTCACAGAGGGCTGCAACTTGAGAGAAGGTGACACAGCAAGGTTCGATGGGTGGGGACGCTTGCAGGAGTGACATGGGGAGCCCAGGCTATCAGCCAGGGTTGAGTGAGAGAGGGCCTGGCTGGGGAACGGTGAGAGCAGGGGCGAAGTGAATCGCCAGCAGAGAACGGATAGCCCCAGAGGGCCCTGGTGGTCACAGATCAAGAATGTTGGAGGGCAGGTGACTTCCAGGCTCCCCTTTAGGTTGTGGCCATGGGTCAGACTTTCAATTCTACATCTTCTCCAAGTGCCCCAGGTGCTCTACCTGAATGTTCCCCAGCACAAACGCACGGCCTCCTCCCCTCAGATGGCTGCTTCTCCCACTCCCAAGTCTTGAGCACGAGGGGCCCTGCTCTCCAGGTCCCGCTAACTGCTCCTCTCCTCATTCTCAGAGACAAAAGACTGAGCGAAACCATCCTCAGGAGAACAGGAATGTTTCCAGATCAAGATTTTTTCCCCCTGCTCTGTTGCTTCAGGACTTTCCCATATCTTTCTCCACCCCGGGGCCCCACATCAGGAAGCCTCCTTAGCACCCTCCTGGTCCCCGCGGATGCCTCTCCGCCGCCCCCCCACCTAGCTTGTGGACCCTCTCCTTTGGCTTCAGCTCAGTTGAGAGACTCGTAGGAGCTTCCCATCTGGAAGGGCGCTGGAACCCCAGGATCAGGAGTGGGACTTCTGCACCCTTCAGGGGCTTGGCAGTGCACCTGCGTGTGACGTCGAGGCTGGGCAGTGTGGGTGTGTTGCTTGCCTGCCTCGGTCCTTGTTTCCTGAAGGCAGATGCGTCTGGCTTCTGATGAGGGTAGAACTTGAGAGGTCTGCCTACTCCCCCTCCCCTCGTCCTCTCCTGCTTCCCAAACACCCCCTTAGAGCGGGCGCTTTGGGCAAACTTGGCCTGTTCAGTCTACCTGCTTCTGTGCAACAAAAGCCCTGGAACCAGGTGAAGAGGTTGGAATTACTCGGGAACATAGACGCGGTCAGGAACGCTGGGGGAGTCTGAGGGCTGAGATGTGAAAAAGTGGTCAGAATCTTACTCCCTTTCCAGCCACAGGCCTCCAGCATTCTTCAGACCAGTTTTGGCCACAGTCCCTCCCCCAGGATAGCCTGAGGGAGCTGAGCTCCTAGGAGGGGCTCCTGCTTTCCCAAAGCCCCTGACTTGGGAGGGTGGCCTGACAAATAAGTAGATGGTATTGAGGAAGCAGCTGATTGTCACACAGGCCCCAAGGTCCCCATAATGGCCTGGCTGTCCTACCTGCTCACCTTCCTGGTTCTGCTGCTGCTTCTGGCCCTGCTGGGGGCTTCCCTGCTCTGCCAGCAGCACCCTCCAGCAAAGGGCAGGGAGGTGGCCCTGCAGAGGATGGAGGCCCGGGCACAGGTGAACAGACATCCGTCCTTGAGGTCTTCAGCCCCTGGAGCATTGGGCCTCCATCCTAGTAGGGGGACCCCATTTTAGGACAGGAACCCTCCCCCACTTTCAGAAGATGACAAGGAACCTAGTAGACAACCCCCTACTCCCAGCTCTCCCCACATCTCTGTGTGGCTCTCAGGTCTCTGAGCTCTGGAGGTCGGTGCCGTTGTGGTCTCGGTTCTCAGCACCCAGCACATGGCTCAGTGACATGATGGGTGCTTTCATAGGGTGTGCATTGAGAAGAAAGAAACTGAAGGAGGCAATTGGAGAGGGAGAGGCCGGGCCTCTCTTTCAGCCCATGAGCACCGTTACCCTCTGAGACATTGACCTTTCTGTCCTCGACACCATTGGATTCCGTGAATGTTTGTGAGCACTTGCGAGGTCCAAGGCATGGGAATCAGTGGAGACAAGGTCTTCCCGTGAAGTTAGGTGTCTTAAAGCGGAGCCTGGGCAGCTTGGATGGGATATTTTGAGACTTTGAGACAGCTGGGGCGGGCTGGGACTAGCCATGGGTGCGCAGCAAAGCCTGCTGCAAGTAGGCACATGGAGACATCCTTAGACGGGGCCTGGATTTTGTTGTAAGGCCCAGAGGATATGGCAACTCCCCACGGGTTCCCAGCTGCCTGAGGAGGGGTGAGCCCACAGTATCTTAGGGTCTCCAAATTTGGTTGATGGTGAAGGATTCCCTCTGAGACCTGGGAAGGGGTGCGAAGGATGGAACCCTGGGGGTGGGGGGTGAGGATACATGTGCCTGAGGGGCTGTGCCCACACTCCAGAGTTCCTGCATGGTCCTCGGATGGTGATTGATGGCCCCAGTGGGCAGCCTCTCAGTCTGGGCGGCGGCAGTTGTTGCGAGTGTGTATTAATATTAATTGGGGCTAATTAGTTGGATAAATCAATCCACCCTCTGAGAGCAGCTGCCCCTCCCTGGTGGATGAGGGGGAAGTCTGGGCAGCCGGCTGGGCTTGTGCTGGCAGATCAGCTGGAGGAGAGCAAGCCCATGTGGGCGCCGGAGCCCTATCTGTGGACCGCAGTGGGTTAGAGCCAGCCTCTTTCCTCTGGCATGTGGCTGTCCTTGGGATTTTTCTGGGCTCTGGTTGGGGGGGTGTCTGGCTGCGTGTGGCTCGTCTTCGGTGATGTGCTTGCGGTGTGTACGCAGATAGCCAGTTTTTGACTTGGCAGTGTGTGTGTTTTGTGTTAACGGGTTGCAGTGTATACAAGGGGGCTTCACAACGCTGGTGGGAAAATGGAATGAAAAGATAACGGATGTTTCCCACTCACTTTTCAAAGCCTCTCGTGCATCTGGGCATGTGTGGCTGGCTGTGTCCGGACGTTTGGTCAGTTTGACCTGAACTCGGTGTGGTTGTGTGTCTGCCGTGAGGACAGTGCTGGCTGTGTATCTGGGCATATGGTGTGGGATACACGGGACCTTCAAGAAGCTTCTGGGAAAGTGGGATATTCCCAGGAACTGTTTGAAGCCTCCTGGTACGTACGAAGGAAGATCTCCTGGGGGAGATCTCGGCGATTTGAAGAGGTATCTGGTGGGCATGAGGTGTGGGCATCTGACGGAGTGGGGGATTGTCAGGGGCTTGGGGTGAGGTGACCTATGGGTCTCTAGCCTGTCTCCGTGACCGCAGACTTCTCTCTTTGCATCTTCTTTCCTCCCCACCAAAGCTATTCAGGTCTGCCCTGGACTTGGTCTCAGTCGGGCCAATTTGTTTCCAGAAATACCCCCAAGGTCTCACGTGGACCTCGGGGAGGGAGGAGGCTGAGACACGGCGTTCAGTCCCATACAGCCAGTGCAGGTCAGTTCTGCCAGATCCCAGCGGGCTCCTCTGTGTCGTGTCTTGTGCTAGACCTTGGAGCAATAAAACGAATTTCCTCTCTGGCCCAGACTTGCCTTAAGGAGGCTCCCATTCCAGGCCAGGTGCGGTGCAAACAGAGTCGTGCTAAGAGGAGGCAGCTCTGCTGCTGAGTGTGTTGGGGAAGGGGGGCTGGAGGGGCAGGTGCCCAAGAGGAGGGGGATGTGGGGAAGCCTTCTCAGGAGAGGTGGGCATTTGAGCTGGGCTGGGCAGTGTAGGAGTTCTCCAGGAGAAAGGACATAACTAGTTATGGTGGGGTTTCTGAGAACACAGAAGGGAACAGTGAAAGGGCCCAGGGGACCAAGGGAGAAGCTGCTCCTGGCTGAAGTCACTGGGGAAGAATGGGCAGGTAGGGGGAGAGGAGAACCCAGGCCACGTCTCAAGGAACCGCAGCATTTACAGAGGGGCCAAGGAAACTGAGAAGGAGCTACAGCAGTTCTCAACCTGTGGGTCGTGACCCCCTTAGGGTCAAATGACCCTTTCACAGGGGTCGCCTACTACATCCTGCATATATCAGATATTTACATGATGCTTCATAACAGTAGCAAACTTACAGTTATAAAGTAGCAAGGAAAATAATTTTATGGTTTTGGGGTCACCACCACATGAGGACCTATATTAAAGGACCGCGGCATTAGGAAGGTTGAGAACCACTGTGCTACAGGAGGCAGGAGGAAGCCAGGGGAGTCGGGGTGCACTGAGACTCCAGGAGAGCAGAGTAAGAGGAGCACTGAGGGGAGTTTAAGAGCTTTAACCAAGAAGCTTTGGGGATCTGGTTGAGGAGGGGCTCAGGGGAGTGAAAGGGCAGAAGCCAGGCTGAGGTGGCTTTTAGTGTGAGGGAAAGAAAAGACAATGGAGCCAGGGTACCCCTCATTTCTCAGAGAAATTCCTCTGTCTCTCTTTTTTTTTTCCCCAGGACCAAGAGGATCCATTCATGCTCGCTCACCCCCTCTCGCCCCCCTAACCCACACTGCAGTTTGCTGGGGCTGGGTCCCCATCAGGCCCGAGGAGGAAGGAGAGAAGGCACTCTGGTCCTTGGCATGTCCTGCTTGCCTCTGTGATGCCTGCCTTCATACTCCGGCGGGCTGTTCAGAGGTGGAGGGACTTTGTCCACGGTCACTCGGCACTGGACGCATGATTCTAGAGGAAGTCTCAGTTCGTTCTTGCTGAAGGACACAGGTCATTGAAAGGGACGTGTCTATCTGGGCAGGACCCCTGCTGTCAGGGCAGTCGAAGCAGGGGCTGGATGGAAGGGTGCAATGGGTTGTTTGGGGTGCTCCCTGAGGCAAACAGCTCGTTGTTGAACTCCGCTTTCCATACCCACAGAGGCCTGTATTTTTGTTTCTAGGGCCACTCTCCTTGTGATGAATGAGAGTAGCAACCCAGAGGAAGAGGCAAGCTCTCCTGTGAGCCGGCCCTGGCCTGGGCTCTGGGAAGACCACAAGAGGGGGAACAGCTGTGCCCAGAGGACTTGCATGCCAACCCAGAGACAAAACAGGGAAGGTGTTTGCTCAGGATGAACACAGGGACTGAGCACCTCGACTTATGTGCAGCCTTGTGTCCAGTGGAGTGTGTGAGGGGAGGTATTGGGGGGAGGGCCTTTGATACCTGCTTACCCCACTCATCTCTATAGGAGCCGAGTCTAGACGCCAAGGCCCTCCTGGAGCTGCCTCTGGAGACATTGGCCACGAAGCTTCAGAATGAAGCGCTGAGTCTAGAGAGTGTCCGCTGTAGCTCTTTGGAGAAGGTAGGTGTCAGAAGGCAGCACCCAAACCTGGGACTCTGGCCTGGAGTAGGGGGATCCTGCTCTGCTTACAGGACGTGGGGGCACAGCCATCTGTCCTTTCTAAGAATAGACCACCCGTCAGAGTGGTCTGAGGGGCTGGAGGGACCAAGTGTTCCATCCCTGGCCCTCCCCTCCGCAGGGGCCCCTCATCTGGTCTCCCTTCATGTGCTCAGGCTCTGCAGGTGCATCAGGAGGGGAGTTGTCTGACGGACTTCCTGGAGGGATGTGAGGAGCAGCTGCAAGAATTGAAGAACCTCAACAAGTGAAGCGAGGCCCTGACGCCAGTGTCCCCAGGAACTATAAGGACCCCTATGACTGCCAGGTGAGCCCGAGGGTGTACGTTCACATAGGTACGTGTGTGTACACAGACACATTTGCCGGTGAGTCTGTGAACATCTGAGCATGTGACATTGGACAAGTTATGTGTCAGTTACGTAATCTACTGTCAACGTGAGCGAAGGGATGGAGTCTAGCCTGTCAATCAAGTCATAGCCAATGAGGCTGCCGTGTGGGCATGGCCTTCTCCTAAGGATTCTGGGAACTCCTGTCTTCCTTCCTGGAGGCGGGACACACACTCTCCCTGGGAGAGATTCCTGATGACAAACCACCTGGAGCTATGCTGATGGAGCCAGAAGCCTGGAGCAGGAGGAGCCATGTGGAGACCCCTGCCAGGACTGAGATGCTTCCACCACCACTGGATCCACAAGACTTTCCACCCACAGGCCTGTGATCTTGCATTCAGCATCATTGCATGGGTTGTGTGAGTCTGAAGAGAAATTTCTAGACTGGTATCAGATATATGGGCTAATATCGGACTTATGGACTTCATCTGGACTGGGCTGGGATGTTTCCTTAATATACAGTTACCCGTTATATAAAGCTCTTTCTTATACACATATAAGTGTGGATGAATTTGTTTCTGTAGTCAACCGGGACTAACACAGGCTACATAACCCACGCTGCATGAACGTGGCGACGCTGGGCTTTTAAGCTCAAGCCTTACTGCCATGTGATTTTGCCACCTGTGAGTCCCCCTGTTTGCAGTGCTTGTGTCTCGGAGGGTGGGAGAATGTATGTGATTGGGGGTGAAATCAGGACGAGGGCCTGCAGGCTGGATGATCCCACCCTGACCACCATGGGCTGGGGGGCAATATCTTTTCCTTTCAGGGCCATGGCTCTACTTGTGGCCTCACCCAGTTCCTGGAGAAGCTGGCAGCCAAGGAGGGGCCATTCTCAAAGTGCTGAAGGCCCAGGGAGCTATTCCTTTGTTGAAACCAACATCTCTCAGACGTCACTCAGGTCTCTGAAGTGGGCAGGCTGGGGGGTGGGGACTAGGCCCAGGTTGGACACAAATCCTTAAAGCCCAAGACTCAAGGCAGTGGGTGTGATGGAAGCCAATTCTACAGACCCCAAGGACTGGGTTCTTGGGCAAGTCCTCCCTACCCTCTGGACTCTGGTGGCCCCATCTGATAATGTGTAGACAGACTCCATGTTCTCTAAGGTCCCTTTTGCCCCTGAGGTTCTGAGAGGTTGCATCCTGGCTTCTCCTTCCAACCTCATGCTCTCTGTTTCCGCTTCTCTTAGCCTTCGGTGTGTTTAAGGGATCTAGTCTCAATTCTGACCACAGAGCTGTGGGCTCCTTGGTCCTGGTTTTAAGACTTTGGTTGTGGTTGGGTTTAGTTGATCCTGAAGCAGCAACCCTTCCCTCCAGTAAGAAGGAGTTCGTTGATCCACGGGAGGCAAAGAATCCTTGGGGCTGACTGCTGAAAGGGGCTGAACTCTTCATGAGGAGGGAGCCCCATACTTCCCAACATTCCCCTTCTTCCTTCAGCTATGATGGCAGCAATCCCCTGGACGGCCACACTCTCAACCCCTTGAACTTGAAGGAGGCACCTGGGGGCTCCTTGGGGGGCGAGGGAGCTCTGCTGGTGGAACAGGGTCCCCTTCTAGGCCTGGGGTCAGACACAGGGGGCAGCATCCGCATACTGGCCAGCTTCTGTGGCATTTATGGCCTTTGGACCACAGGGTCCTGCCTCAGGTCCTCAGTGGTGGTCTCGCCGTGGTGGGGGGTGGGGGTGGGGTGGGCTCAGCCCAGTCTAAGGAACCAGGGATCTGGAGGAGTAAAATGTCTGCTTTACCCATCCATCCAACTCCACACTAGTGGTTACAGGTAGGAGGGCTTCAGAATGACCCCTGCCTCAGGCATAACAGCCATAAGCATATCAGGTTGCGTCTAGGTGGGAGTGGAATTCATTCATTCATTCATCTATATTCCTGTCCATCTACCGATTCTCTCCTTTACTTTTCCATCAATCACTCTGTGTCTTCATCTCTCCCATCCTTCATCCACCCCCATGCATTCATCAGGGTTGAGGGGGTGGGACTGGACCCAGGTGGGACACAAATCTTTAAGTCCAAGAGTCAAGGCAGAGGGTGAGATGGGTGTCTCCATTCATCAACACTTTCACCATTTAATTTATTGAGCAGATATTTATTGAGGTCTAGACACTCTACTAGGTGCTTGGGATAGTTCAGAGAACAAAATAGACAAATAACCCGAGCCTGGAAAAATGACATACATCCTTCACATAGGCATCTACGTCTTCCATTCTTCCCCCATCTATCTCTCCATTCCTGTTTCCAGCCATTCATCCAGCCCCTCGGCTTTCAAGCAGACTCTGAGTACCCATATTGTGGTGGCTCCTGAACTGGGGCTGCAGAGGGCTCTCAGACCCAACCCCTCCCTGCTGTGCCCTTAGGTAGCCAAATGGCTTCCGCGGGCTTTGATTGGGGTTCTAGGAGAGCATCAAAGCTTATGGGAACTCATGGGTGAAGCTGGCATTTTCTTCAAGAGAGATTTTGTGAATGCTTAGACTTTGGACTTTCAGAGGCAGGGGAAGGGAAGAGAAACAAACCCTTCTTCAGAGCCTAGAGGGGCAGAGAGGAGTCGAGTAGTAGAGAGTGGTGGAAGTTGAAGTTGCCATTATTCTGTGGCTGGGCTTGGTGTCCACTATTCTGTGGCTGGG